AGTAGCAGCACAGCCCAGGAGCCCGTAGCCAGTCTACTCCAACTGCTCTTACTTTAGTTTTCTTACACTGCTTCTTTTCAGTTTCCAATTATTCCATTTATTATCAAGATTCATCCTACCTTATTTTCGAGGCTTCATTGGAAGGCTTCTCCTGGCCCGGTGACAAGATGGCTTCCAACAGCTCACAATGCTGTCTCCCAGGGTGGTGGTCTCATCGCACAGAGGCGGTCTCTTGGCGAGGTAGTCACATCCCAGAGGGCATTGTCCTGGCAAGGCAGTCTCATCCTGGTATGGCCATCTCTTAGCTTCTTCTCATCGCCCAGCAGGAAATCTTCACCTTCCGGGTATCCCATCATTCCTTAAATCAGCTCTCCCTGAGCCCAGGAACTGTTAACTGAATGGTGATACTTTTTCTCATTATTACGTATGACTTCTGTCATTAATGTGGGCGCCGTGGTAGGGAGACCGAAAACAAGTTTTCATTATTTTTCATGTAAAATTGCACGACGAGATAAATTTCTGTTCTATTTTCTGAAATGTCCCCTGGCCATTTTGGGAATTCTTGTTAAAGATTCTGCTTCCACATCCATATTCCCTGCGAGGGAAAGATGGAATACAATGGTTCATGAGAGATATCTTGCCAACACCTTATACAGCAGGCACTTGTAAATACGGCGCACAGGATATTCCTTATATGGTCTCAATCCGATAAACAGAGCTGACAGATCCCTCAAGGCATGGATCACATCACTGAAGATGAGTGCAAATGTTTGTGAAGAAGGTTATCTAAGATTCTAAAGTGATCTTCACCAATTGGGTCAAGGGGCTGAGAAGTGGCAGATGGAGTTTAATAAATGTGAGATATTGCATCTTGAAAAAGTACACGAGAGAATAAATTTCAGTTTCTATATTTCTAATCTCCCCCTCAGACCTGTCACATCGCTCCCTTGTCCACTACAACCTGCTACCCTCCCTGACTCAGTCAACCCTCACCGGGCCATGTCACCCCACAACTCCCCCAGAAACTGTCATCCCCAACCTGTCACCACCTTTAGTACCACCCTCACCCTCATCTCTCATCCCTTACCCCTCTTGTCCACTCATCCTCGCTCACCCCTTCTCTCCCCACTGCACCCTTTGTGACATCTGCACCCTTTTTCTCCCCTCTCACTCCCTACCTCACCCACTATTCTACCCCCTCACCCGCATCTTTTTCCCCATAACCCCTTTCATCCCATCCTCTCACCCCATTCCCACCCTCCCCCACTCACATTCCTCCCCCGTCACCCCCGTTATATCCCCATCCCACGCCACCATTCACCTCACCCCCTGTTCTCCCTTCTCCCACCCCTCATCCCCAACAACCTGTTTACCCTGTCCCCAACCCCTGAAAACTTCACCCCGCAACACACCAACCCTCACCCGTTCCCCCCAGTCAGTGGGTGACCTGCCTCAAGGGCCCATTCCCCCCGCCCCCAGTCAGTGAGCGACCTGCCTCTAGGACCCCGCAGCCCCGCACGCTGGGGCCCAATGGGCGGGTCTATGAATGTACCCAGGCCCTTCTGCGCGCCGCACGAGGCCAATACAAGGTTCCGAGCGGCGTCGCACCTTCCAGAACTCTTCTCCTTGAGCGGCCCGGAGCCTTCCTTGACTCTACAACCTAAACAACAACCACCACCCACTCTGTGCCTCCCCGGTATATAAAGTAAAATAATATAAACCCCACCCTCCGGTTCGACACCCCGGACCCCGTCTCTGTCAGTGCGGGGTTCCCAGGCCGCCCGTTCGCAGCACTTCCGGCCGAGCTTCTGGAAGGTTCCGTGGAGTGGGTCTCGGCCAATCAGGTGTCGAGGCGGTTAACCGCCGCCCTCGCGCGGTGAGAGTTTCGTGTTTTCCTCGCTGGGCTTCACTTTGTGGCAGGTACCCTGCGGCTCTCTGGGCTCCTGCCTGCTTTACCTTTTCCGGGCA